ATTTTTTTCTTTATATATATATGTGTATGTATATATATATATATATATATATGTATATATATGTGTATGTCTGGTTTAAGATATTTATTACTGTATGTGTGTGGTAAATTCCAAGATAGTTGGTATTTAACAAAACCTCTATCGTTTATTACCCTACCATAAATGCACCTACCGCTATGCTGGCAGAGAATGCCTTAGGCATTAAGTCCGCCGATGCATGTACTTGTGCAAAAAGTTATAAATAAATAAATCTAGTAATTTCTTATTATATATAGCTACCATTCCCTATACATATTATATTTAAAAAAATACTTTAAGCATCATCTGAAAATCGAATGATAAATCACATTTCACTGTGATTTTTTCCCATGTCTTCTCCATACCGTGATTCTAGAGGTCCAAGTGTCCTTGAGCCGCGGTAGTCACTTACCATCAGGTTAGCCGTCTGTTCATTGTCCTCCTGTACCTACCATAAAAAATTATATTTAAGAATATAATATTGGCACATCACTTTTATAGAATATAAGTGAAAATTTTATTATGAGTTTTTATCGCATTTAAATGCAAAAATCACCTTGCGCGAATAGATTACCTACTCGATATGGTTATTACAGATAACCTTCAGTCAACATTATTAAAATTACTACTACTAGTATTTACCTACTAATTGTGGGAATCACAGATTTTGGTCCAATCCACAATTGCTTTATAGAGCTTAAATTAAAGCTTATTAAATATTTAAGGATTTTAGATCGTTCGATTTCGGTACAGGATCTATTTTTTAAAGGTGTTCTCAATATTATTAAATGATATCCATCTTGATAGAAGTGTGGAGTCACCCGGAAGGACCGCGAGAGGAACTCTCGCATCCGTGGTAGCCTTCTTGTCCGTGAAATTGCGAATAAGACGCAAGAGTGTCGCCTCCGGTGGTATGGCCACGTCTTGCGGCAACCTACGTAGGGAACAAATGTCTGGCCACGCCGCCTCCGCCGGGCCACGGTAGGAGGGGAAGACCCAAGAAATGCTGACTTGACGTCGTAAGGGATTATATGCGTGCCAATGGTCTCAGAACGCGGTGTGCCGAAGACCGTGCGAAGTGGAGGAGAATGAGTAGGAAAGCGGACCCCGGTTGTCACCGGACGCAACCGGGATTAACGCTCGGATGACGATGATGATGATCCATCTTGATAGAAGCCACGTTGAATATGAGTGACATTTCATTGTATTTTAGTGTTTACATTTTAGTTTATGATCTATTTAGTCATTTGACTGCGACAATTCTAGGATTAACGTCCGTTTTCAAGGAGGAAGAACAGTAGGAACGTATAAAGTAAAAATATAAACATACAGGTTTTTCTTTCCTAGGCAAAAAAATACATTAGGACAGACAAAGACAACTGGAATTTAGTTTAGGGTTGGACAAGTGTTTAGTTTTTATTTTCAGACTAATTTCAATTATCTTTATTGTTCTGCACAGTATCACATTCTGCAGATTGAAAACTTGAAGTTGTATTGGGAACGTATTTGGTATATTAAAATAGCCTTTGATGTTGTTTTCAATACTGGTACAAAAATAAAACGACAGAATAAAAAAACATTAAATATATTTGTTAAAATATTACAGATTCAATAAAATCGTATTTGACAGATTACATAGAATGCTAACTACGATCATTTAACTCGCGGTTAATGTAACCAACACTCGTTACACGTTATCAAGCCAACGAACCGATAAAATAATGACGGACGCATACGAACCAACATTACCATTGCTTCAATAATTATTGTTTTGTACAGATAACGATTTTTAGTTGCTAATTTATGGGTTTTAGGGATCTGTGGTAGGAGGTTAAAATGATCCTTCTATTATGTATACGCATTTTATATGCCAGTGTCTCTGTTTTAGTATGTTTCTATTTACAGCATTAATTAGTAATTTATACAGCAATTTATACGTCATCACGTATAAATTGCAATAATAAAAACAATAAATATAGTAATACTTCAAGAGCGTTAGCTTTACTTATAAAAATAAGTTGGCTCATAGAAAAGTTTTATTCTAAGCTTTATTAGGCTTTTTGTTTCATTTATTACTATAAATATATAATATTATAAAGTTGTTAATGTATTAGAAGATTAAAAATGAAAGACTTTTTAAATTGCATTTTAAACCGAACGTTTTTCTTATCAGATAATGTTGACATTAACTAACATATTGCTGAGTGATGTTGTGTTGGCCCGTGAGCGTCGTCTCTAACAGCCCGATAAGTTTGGCACTCGCACCTAACGAACTAACTAGAAGCAATAACTGATGAAATAAAAAATGGAGTAATAAAAATATAATAACAACGCAGCAAGTAATTTACAGCTATGCTAATGGAAGATACACAACTTATACATAATTGAGTCGATACTTTATTATATTGAAAGCTTTTAACATAAATAAAAATGCATGTATAACTACTGATTGTTTTTTTAAATCTGAATATACGATGGAACGCAGTGTTTTGAAATCTTTTAGATATAAAGTTGACCTGACCTGATGATGACTTTAAATTATATACACTTATATGGATTGATGACTTTGTTTATGTAAAATGATGAAGCTTTATTTAAACAATACTCTTAGAATATTTAAGGAATGTACCTAATTTCAATGACGTATTATACTATTGCTTTGTTTATATATCATTGCCTAATATTTTGTATGCCTTTCGGCGGGACATAGCTTGTACATAATAAAATTGACATCTTAACCACCTATGTATCACAAAATTGAATAAATAAATGAAAAAAAATGAAATGAAAACAGTTATTAGGCTCATTTACAATTACAATGGCTTTGTTTCTAGATCTTGACATTTCGCGAGTCTGGCGCTAGCGTAATCATAAGTCATAGCATCATAAGCTTTGTAAATTAGTCACAGGTGTGATTATATGATATTTGAATCATATAACTAATGTCTGTAATAGGTGATTGTGATTTTATTTAATCCCTAATTAGGAGTGGTATTTTCAAATTTGAATGTGCTCCTAAATAAAAAGCCCTTTCTTCTCATAAGGCTCAACCCCTTGGAAACGGGCGGTTGTAGATCGGCACAGGCATATCATAGATTTTGTATAAGACTCTTTTTTATTTAAAAAAAACCTTACTATTTGACAAAACAGAGATTGTTGCTATTGTGTGTGTTGATCTACGATTTTAGAGCCCACATAACATCAAACATTTTTTTTTTTTTTTATGAAATAAAGATATTTCAATTTGAATCGTTACAAGTTTCTAGTATATAACATAAAATAAATATTAGAAATTCCACTAAAAAAGACTAAACAGGTATCGTTATCAGTGCATTATCACTTATTAATTTAAAATTCCATCGTATATCCATCGTTACAGCTGATAGCTAACTCTTACCACCTATAGACGAATGTTTGAGACATTGGGATTATGTCGTACTACATATTTGCAATTAACAAATTGTATCATATCTATTCGTACAATTAGTATAAACGCTACACTTAATTAGTTTAAATCACATGCACTAGTTAGACTACATCGATAATTACTAGAATGTTAATGTGAGCTTTATTTTTTTTTTAAATTTTGTTTTATAAAAAATCCTAATTGTTTGACATCACTTTTCAAAAGTATTCAACTAATTTCTCTATATATGTCTATCTATAGTTGTGTTTCCTCTATACAATGATTTGTAAACTCTATTAAAAAAGTACACTTTCTCGTTTTTAATTTGTTTTTTTTTCTAAATACATTTTAATCTAGAATTTTTTGTTATTTTTAATATTTGTAAATGGTTATGTTGTATGAGGATCTGGTTCAGAATAATGAACGTAATTTTTCTTTACCAGTACGCTCAAACACAAGGTTTCAGCCCACTTGAGCTTTAACGTTCGCCATACATCATGACAGATTGTATTTTTGCTGGTATAAGGAGCTCAGCGGATTATGTGGCGGACTTTAGATTGAGCGGTCTCTGGTTCGTACCCCACCTAGCACACTACGTAATACTAACACAAGCATTTACTTATAATAGTATTGTGTAGCCCCGTTGCTAATGGACTTTGAAAAAGATTACCTTCAAACATCAGCAATTTAGTAATAAACTGATAGTTATCATTTGTTATCTATATATATAATGGCAGACGAGGTAAGGAAATGGAAAATATACAAGTACTTGTATGTTCAACAGGTTTTACCATTTCATGTAAATAGATTTACAAGTTATCATTATCTGATCTAGAAATAATCTCATTAATCAACAACTTGTCAACGACGCAATCGATATTAAAGTAATAATTTGTATATTTTAATGTAATATTTTACATAAATAATTGGCATATGGCACCACTAAGACTTATAGTCAAACACATATATATTTATTTAGTACCTTCCTTTGAACATTACGTCTAGAAATTTTTGCTTTTCATATTTTTCGATTCATTCACAGCGCCATTTACGCTTACACTTTTTATTAAGATTGTCAATTTTTCATAATTATTAAACATCAATAATAGCTATACACTAAATGTTTTTATGTTTAAAACACAGTTAATGAAATATCTCAAATAAGGGTTCTATTTATAAGGACGTATTTATAATCAGAAAGGTACAAGTTGGAAATTCTTGAAATGACTAAAATACATGAACATGAATAAACCCCAGAACGGGTTTTTTTCGTACTAAATAATGGGTATTGAATACTCTTAGTCTTGTATACACAATATCGAAAACGCATATTGAATACAATACCGCTAGGCTTATGCAATAAGCCTCTGGGAATTAGTCATTCTACGTTTCAGTCATTTTTGAGAAATTAAATGTTGGTTCTACACCTTCTAGAAACTTCCAATGAATTATATAAACTATACCTACACGAACGGCATAAATAAGCATGAATACGTCCTTAGTTACACGTCGATAATTGTGTGCGACGTCTTTCAAAGAATGCTATTAAATAAAATGGATATAAAAGCATCATACGTTAACCGAAGAGTTTATCAAAGCACGCGTGGCAATAAGGCTTATCGTTCTGCTCCTTGAAGGTCCCCTTGTTGAGCTGTCTGAGGCAGAAGGCGCAGACAAAATGTTCTGGATGGAACTTTCTGAACATTGCCGTGATGCACCGGCCCGCTATAGGCTTATGACAGCCGGCGCAGAGGGAGCCGCGCTTGCCGTGGTAGTGGGTTTCGCAGTACGGTTGACCTTCATGCTCGAAGAATGAGCCTCCATGGAAAGGTTCGCGGCATTCCTGCAAGAGAAACACACCATCATCAAAACACATGTTGGTTAAATATATATAAAATAAAGCCGGTTAACATCCTCATCATCAGGCCATCGCAGTCCACTGCCGGACATAGGCCTCTCCCATTGCACGCCACTTCGATCTATTTTCTTTTAACATACGAGACCAAAATTCAAGTCACTTTTTAGTCCTAAGAGGATGAATAAAAAATGTCATGAGCACCCCCTGGAACTTGAATAACTCTTGATAATAATCGTAAATTACTTATAAAACTAAACAGTACATAAAAACTAGACCAAGGAAAATACTATAAAATTCCTCGTTACTAAATATTATCGGTCGTGCGACCTTGAGATAATTTATACCTAAATGGGAAACATATTAATGATTGAAAAAAAATTGTGTCATTTGTTTATAAATCTTTATAATAATCAGATTGATATAATGATATAGTACCTAGTAAAGCTTGTCTACTAATTTAATATTACACTTACAATAATACTGTGACGTTGAGGATCTAAAAATCTGCTTTAAGATATCTTTGAGTACATAGATTGTTTATTGAGGAACATTATGAGACTTATGACGAATATAACATAATTCTAACACAGTCTACAAATTTTTTGTCTACAGGTTTTAAACACAGATAAAACCAATATTTCTGATCGTATTTTTGATGTTTTTGCATGCATGTTACAAGGTATACAGTATATAGCCGTACCTCATCCACGAGAAACATTTTATCCAGCTAAATTAATCACGGGTAAGCTAGTGCACATAATATTGAACGCGGGTGAATCAGGAAATTTATTTTAAGTAGGTATTTTATTCTATTTAATATAACATAATATTAAGATAATTATAAACCATATAATATATATATATATAGAAGCGGCGGTAGCCTAGTGGTTAAGGCATTGGACTTGCGATCAAGAGGGCTTGAGTTCGAATCCTGACCAGTACACTACCGACGTGAACCCACTCCCAACACAAGCAATTAGGTTAGCGGGAGGGGTTTACTACGGGGAAAACAAGTAATTTTTAAAACAAAAAAAAATGCAGTAACCTATTACGACATAAAAGTTTGCATAGAATATTTAAAATGGCGGGAATGTGGTGGAATGGTACATCACATTTGAAGTTTGTTTGTAAATTCCTTTTTGAGGGCTATCTATAAACTAAAACATTATTGGCAGAGTATTTGTACACCTGTTTCTTGAGATATTTGGAGAAATTTCAAATTATAAACAACCTATTTAAATTATGCGGCATGGCATGGCATTAAAATTTAGTATTCAGGTAACTGATAATTTATTAATTGAAGTTCCAGAGCTAACCTTTATTTTCTTTGGTTTGCCTCTAGTTACATTTTCCTTCTCTTAGTCGGAAGACAGAGAATGTTGGAGTATGCAACTATATTTTGGTCTTTCCGCTATCGGTATAAGTCATACATATAATAATAATAGTTTCACACATCTCACACACGGCTGTCTGATCCCAAACTAGACAGAGCCTGTACTATGGTAACCAGACCACTGATAATCATACTTATATATTTCTAAATACATCCATATTATAGATAAATTACACCCACACACAGAACAAGCGATCGTGCTCATCACACAATTATTTGTCCTGGGTGGGAATCGAACCCACGACCTCTGGCGTCGCAGTCAGCAGTTAGAATTTAACAATTAGACTTTATATGATTATAGTTTACTATTTAAGTATAGTATTATTGTGTATCCAGTATATATAAAAAAAATTGAAAAAAATACGAAATTGAGATTTTTAGATAATATTTGGATAATTGTCTAAATATTATTACTACATTCAAGAAAAAATGACTACACATATGATAATAAATATTTGTTTAAATCGTTTGGTTTTATAATATGTATCTTACATACATATTATGTTAAACACAACACAACAATTACCGTAGTATTTTTTGGAATTATAGATGAAAGCAAACATTTTAAATGAATGATATACTACGTCATTGGGCGTTATTTTCATATGCTGGACAATTATCTTTTGGCGGGAATCCATGAAAATGTCACATTATCAGGAGAAAAAAAACATGTAGAACGTTAGCGAGACTTGTAATGTTGTGAAAAATGAAGCTGTCAAACAACTATAAGCTTTCTTTTTTAATTTATTTTCTGTTAAGCAAAACAATATAAAATTGTACATGGAAGGCAGAAGTTGCGTAATCTAATGAATAACTTTTGTACAATTTTAAAAAATGTGCATCATATTTTTAAATAAATGTAATAATAATAACCTAAGACACGTCACACACAGCTGTCTGATCGCAAACTAGACAGTGCCTGTACTATGGTAACCAGACTGCTGGTAAACATCTCTGAGATGATGAATTAATTTTGGATTGCGCGATATATAAAATTTTAAATAAAAAAAAATGTAGGTAATAAATGAAAATGCTACGAATTATTTTAAAGTCTTACGTAGACATTCACTCGTGTGAATGATAATCCCATATCAATATCCAAGTTTTGATTGCATAGAATACAAAAATCGATGTGCCTAGAATTGGAAGGCAAATGTCTACTTGAATATGTATTTAACAAAAGAACTTACTCCAAGTTAGTTGTGTACAGTTGTACTAACCATAAGCAGGTATTGCATGAGTAAAATTACCATAAAAAAGTATCATTTACATGTAATTTGTTTCTAAGCATGTAATTTGTTGTGAGAATATAGCGAAATTACAAGGAGATTATCCTTAACATTTTCAAACATACCAGCACTATGCAATAAGTCTCGAGTGCTTTCTATTCAAAATTACGGAGTAAACAATACAAGTCTGTAAATATATACTCTATATATTTGCAGATTGTATCATTTTCTAGTAAAATTGTCCTCGTAACGACTATTTAAAAATAGAATGTTCTGAACTTTAAAATAGAACTCTAAATAGGCCATAAACAAATCGGCCCGATTACAAGCAGCCGGTGTGGCTGCAGACGTTCCTGTGACGTCACGGCCATATTAATAGAAACTTTGTGGACCAAGGAAACTCTATACACTACCATCACAATTTTGTTGCACTTTCCCTCATAGTAAATGCCACTATGAGGTTCGATTAAAGGTCATTGTCGTGCGTACGCACGTGACCTTGATGCCTGGGGCACGTCAGTCTCATATTTGTTGTTTCTATTTTTATATATTCGTTTTTTTGTTTTATTTTTATTATTTTTATTTTTGTTCTCTTTATTATAAATCTTAATATTACAATAACATTACAAAAATATATTACATAAATTAATTTCCCTATCATGTACTACACACTAGTATCGTTGTTTTAATTTTTGTAAGTGTAGAGTGTAAATAACATCTGTGTTTGTGTTTATGGTTCATTCTCTTTTATTCATTTTCGACGAGCATAGCTGTAAAATAAAAAAGAGGGCGGGGAGGGCATTCGTTTGAGATAGAGGGATATTGATGACATCGTTTATTCATCCTCGTCGACTCCGACGCATTTTGGGCATACAGGCTTTCCTTCCATGGCATAGAAAGATTTTCCTTTGACAGCCTTTTCGCAGTCCTGTGTAAAGTAATAATTACATAAGAATAAGAGTTTCCTAAATACACAAAAAGCTTGTGATTTTTGTACATTCAGGCATATTTGTATACTTGACCTTCCGCATTCGTGGGTTCGCTGCTTGTAAATAAGTAATCCGCAGCCACGGGGCGATGAGACCTAGAATGAGACCTATACTAACCTTGCATACAAAGCAGTCTGGATGCCATTGTGTGTTCAGTGCTGAGATGTAGTTCTCCATAATGGGCTTACTACAACCGCCGCATTTAGGTGCGAACATGTCAAAGTAGTCAGCGCGGCAGTAAGGCTTCCCATCCCTTTCATGAAAGCCGTCCTCACCGAACTGTTGCCCACATTGGGCACAGAAGAAGTGCTCCGTATGCCAGGTTTTTTCCAAGGCTGTCACGCATTTCTGGAATGAGATAAACACCTTAGCACCTCATGTTTATAGTAAAATTTTGGTTTCTAAAATTTGTAAGCTGGGACTAACATCCAGGATGGGTCCATTGCAGTAGGCGCATCTTGGCGAGAAGAGGTTGTGATAGTCTGGTTCACAGTAAGGTCTGCCATCGCGCTCGAAGAAGTTCCTAGTGCCCAACTCTTGGTTGCAGTGAGCGCAGGTGAAATGCTCTGGATGCCACGTGCGACCCAACGCCGTGATAACCTGTGCCACACAAAACAGTTCATCATTCACTTTCGTTGTCACTGAACACTCTTAGAAGTAGGCATTTCACCGGAAAATTCTATTTGTTTCTGAATATCGACCTGTCCGACAATGGGCTTATCGCAAGCGTTGCAGCATCCCTTCTGGGGGGTCTGTACTCCTTGGCGGCTCATGTCTGCACGGAGAGAACCGAGCATATGCTCGAGAGAGGCGGATTCGGGTTGCCGCGGGTTGCTGCGGTATTGCTCTTGCCACGCACGCTTCTCGCGATGAACGTGGATGCCGCCGTCTTCACCTCCTGTCCCGCTCACCTGAAAATTTAAAAACGAATTATGAAATACTGAGTTCATATACTGGCACATTTTTTTTTGTTAAGTCCCACAGAGTTAGTGGCATAATATAACGCTAATTTTTATTTAAGGTCAATTTGTAATCTTCGCCTTAGACTTGAGATTGGAATTGGTTTTCAAAGTCTAAGTGGAAGATCGCAAGATTTTTATCCCAACGTACAGAGAATAGCCCTCCTGTTCACGGTGGATTGGAGCGAATGCCGACCGAGTGAAATGTTTGTCTATGTACTCTAATATTATAAGCTCGCGTCCCCACCACGGTTGTGATGTAACGCTGGGAACTATCTTTAGCTGTGAGGGTTGTACATGTGCGAGCGAGACGAAACGAGCGCTGGAGTGTCGGCTACGAGGCTGGAAATAGCCGTGGACCAAGAAAGGCGACTTGTAAATATTATAATAAACGGAAAAGAGGAGACTGCTGTAGTGCAGTGTGCCGAGGTGGCCCTGACTGATGCCGTTCGATATTAGACCTTAGGGTGTTGAATCATCACGTGTAATTTTTATTTTAAACCGATTGATAGGGATTCGATTGAGTATAAAGTTTTCGATTTATTTCAGTATTCATGAATGAAAAAAACCGAGTACATAAACAATGGTACGAGCAATAAATGTTGCGACGTCTTCTGCTCCGGTGTCATTTTGGCATCACTTTGTGTCATCAACTATCTAATATTTGACTAATAACCTTGTACCTCTATGAAGTAATATAGTAGTACGTAAAGATATTAACTACGCAATTTGATTTAATGACAAAACATTTGCACTAACTAATGCATCAGTAAATCTCAGGACAAGGTTTTTAAGGGATTTTATCACATGTTTACACGATAAATCTCTCGAAATCTTGTATTTTGAGTTAAGAGAGAGATATATGTACAGATAATATATACATAGTAATGTAAAATATTAATAAGTTGATTGCTGACTTTATTTTATTCAATGAGTACAATACTAATAATATGAGTGAAAGAAGTACACTAATACGCTAAAAAATAAATAATTTGGCTGTCAGCACATTGTTCCATTTGATTATATTTTTTTTGCGAGATGGTTTACGTACACTTTCATTTAGTTTTGGCTACAAGAACAGTAAACATCATCATAATATTCTTTCATTGTTAGCGAAAAACTCTATACGAAAGTGAAAAACACAAAGAGTGTGCATCTTTATTATTAGCTAGAAAGAAATACAGAAATACATGCTATTGTTTATGCCGGGTTTACTGCAGACAATTTGATAGACACTATTAAAACTTTTGGCTAGACAACGACCACCATAAAGACTGAAATCTAACGAGATTTGACAATGTTTGAAATGATAACATTATCACAGAAGCACAGTTACAAAAAGGACTTACTTTAAAATCGGAAAGTGACGCCATCAAATCATCAAGTTCCTTTGTAGCGTTGGAGGCGTGGTGTTGATGTCGAACTACGTTAGTCGCCATAGTCGGTGGTGGTTGTTGCTGAGATTGAGCTGGTTCCACCACTGTTTCTTGCACGGTGACGGTAATTTGCTTGGTGCCTGGGCGAGGTAGAGTCCCACCGGTCGATGGCGGGGGAACGGGCGATGTTGAGGCGCGACTATTGACAACGAATGCAATATATAAGATTAAATGAATAAGGATTTATCAACAAATTATATGTATGTGTATAGCATAGCACTGTCTTTTTCGCGCTTTTTTGCGTCGTATATGTTAAAACTATAGACATATTTAGAACCTACAGATACAGATCTAGATGTGAAGTTATTTACCAAGACATATTATCACACTAATATTATAAAGGCGAAAGTTTGTAAGTGTGTTTTTACTTTTTCAGGATCAAACGGCTTTACCAATTTTGATAAAAGTTGGTATAGAGGTAACTGACACCCTGGATTAACAAATACGAGAAAAAAAAATGTAGTGTTCCCATGGGATGAGCAAGACTACACTTTTTAGTGTATCTGATAAACCGCGGGTAACACTGCGGGGCGCAGGTAGAGTTCTGATACAAGTACATGGTGGTCCTTATTAAGTTTCTAACATTCCAGATATAAGTTTAAGGAAAGAAAATTTTGTAAAGATGCCCTTCAACATGAACAGCCTATAAAAGTCCACTGCTGGACATAGGCCTCTCCTTGGAAAGGAGGTTTTGGCCTACTATGCCCTTATAATTCTTAAATTCTGGCAATTTTACAGATTTCAGGTGACTAAAATATTTGTTCGCAATCACATCCTTTCCTTACTTAACATCACAACTTATAAGTTGTAGATAATGTTGAATTTCATACATAAATTAAATAGCTATAAATTATATCAGCACGTATAGACCTATTAGAGATCTTGGCTCACAGCTGCACTGCGTCTTAATTTCATAAATAGTCAATTGTCCTTCCAAAACCATTACTTATGTTTACTGTAAATCTTTGTCACTAATGCATACATTAGTCAGTTCGCCAAGAGCGGGGAAAGATTTGGACGTGCATTGATCCATTAACTGTATGCGATAAGTTCATGGTTTATTTTATTATACACAAGCTGTTAAGGTCACAAATATATATATATATATATATACATATATATATTATGTATAATACTTAATATCAAATCCAGATTAAATTCTTTATAGTTTTGAACTGTTGATTTTTTACTGTTTTAGTATCAGTGTTTTATTGTATAAAATCTGACGATAAAGTTTTACTTAGATCATATTACCATCATATCAGCGACCATTTGCGACAGCGCGGTCTAACAGCCGTGGCTGATAAGACTAAACTAAGACTGTTTTTACCGCCATCTTTATTCAGTTCAAGCAAATTTGCATTGCATTTTATGTTAAATAACAAAAATTGTAAAATTTACAACCGTGAAATTTTATTTGGATGTAAAATAATATCTTTAAATATTATAGTACTGCTTCATTAATATTTTGAAAGGTTCTACGACTTTTTTTGTTCCTTTCAATCTCTCATAATCGTAGCCATATGTCAAATGATAAAATCTGCTATTTATGTAATATTAATAATAGGTATTGTAACAGCTAACTAAAAGGCTGCTAGCCAATCTAATCGCCCCTCAACAGCAGTCCTTGACATCAAATTGATTTGATTTGTAAGCGCCCCTTGACAGCTGGCGTCATTGCCATTGAGTTCAGCTATATTCCTAACCCACTTTCTCTCTTTGTCTCACATATGGCTTAAGACAGATATACAAAGACAGCTCTAGGGGTTAAGATGATTAGATAAGATGCTCAAAAGTTGCAAGTGCGTTGTCGGCTTTTGAGGTGAGAGTTCGTTCTTTTCTTGAAGATTTAAAAGTCGCGTGTATTATAAACGACAATACTGAACCACACCACCGTTATGAAGTTCTAACACACAACTTATGCATATTTATCGATATAAATTATTATCCATACGTAAGATCATGATCTTATTAAAAAGGCTTTCCAGAAGTTGCTTTAAAGATAGCAGATGGAGTAAAACAAAGATAAGGTGAAAAAAAATAATAGTTATTGTATAACTATCGGATCAAGTTTTACAAATTAATTTAGTTGTTTTTGTTGTAATGGATACATTATTATGTTTAAGAATAACAATTAACACAACGAATTGTTCCAGTTCACGTTATACATCACATGTCAGCAGTGTATCGTTACCAAAAAAAATTGTAAACGACACCCCAATGGTGTGGTTTAGTGGTGCCGTTTACAATACACGAAAAGTAGTATTGATTCGGAAATACTTTAGGCGACAATTATTTTCGCAGATTGGTACTGCGAGATAAAAAGTGTCTTGAAAAGCAACACTGTGGGTGGAGTGCCAATTATAATCTAAGTGAATTTTTATGAAAGTATTGTCCCGGTGAACGATATCCGAAAGCTATTCTTACCAATAACACCAATGCAATATGTATGTGTAGATAGGGTATCATAGCAGGTGCGATTACCGCATGTCCCCATATAAATTCTAATTAGCGAGCGGATGTGAAGTGGCTCATCCATGCCAACTACAATTAGTTCACTACGTGTTGTATGTAGGTACTATTGTCATACCGATGAAGGAGATGTGATTAATAATTTGAATAACTTCGTACATGTGAAACATCACGACGATGATGTAGTGTCGGAAATATCAAAAGAAACTTGTGGAAATTAATTTATTGATATATAACAACAACCAAAAACAATTTGATGGTAGTTGACTATTGCCGCCCTTTTAAGTGCGTAACCGTCCTTTGAGTGAAGTATTAAGGGAGGTAGGCTTTCGTTAACTTCAGTCTCTCGGTGATAAGTAACAAAAGAATTATTTGACACCGGTTTCCTCTGATGCCGTGGTATCACTTTGACTAATTTTCTTCCAAAGACAAATCAATTATTATATATTCCATTAGCAATGAGGCCATTTCTTGTCAACACGGTTGTACATAAATAATAGTTGTTATTCAACAACAACACGCACTGCTATCGACAGATATGTAAAAATATACGCACCCAACGGATGTGATGGATCACTGCCAAAATCCGAAGATGATAAATGCATTAATAAAATAAAATATTTTCGAAGTTCGGATCAAATCTCAAAGTCAATTAAAAAGATACAGTGAATTTCATTTATATTTTAAAGTAAACGATAATATATGCATGTTTCAAATCTAAATCTTTTTTTCTGATCTTTAGATGTTTAGCGCTTGGGGGTTTCAGTTTTTTCAAACAAAGGCACAAAGAGAGCGAATAAACATCACGATTTTACGGATGAGGATTGGAACGAGGTCTATTGAAAGTTGCTGAAACGTATTTCTTTACTATACCTTTTCTCTACGTGGATCCAGTAGTTTTAAATCAAATCATTATCCGCTTAAAATTGCCCTTTCTTCACTTACATGTACCCAGGTGTCCTTTACTGATTTATTTGAAACAGATAAGTCTACTATGATTTGAAATTTGTACGGCCTCTCTCCAAATGAACACAAGACAAAACAGTAAGCAGGTGTAGGATATATAAATAAACATAAATCAAACAAAACATACTTTTCTACACAATGTATTTCATACAAACTTTTGTCTACCGCATCAGCATAAAAAGCTATTATATATCGTACCACAGACTTAAAATTGACCACCGTAAAGAAGTCCCGTAGAAAGTTAAAGTGTGGTTCCACCACAGAGGGCGATTATATCAACAAAACACTGTAGTGATGTCATACCGAGCTATTTCCGTTCGATACAGAAATAGGTAGAAGTTTTCACACGGCCCATTCGACGGCTCACTATCTGGTTTTGGAGATTTTTTCAGGGTTCCGTACAGTCATGACCAACGTATGCAAATGACTTGCTTGACCTTGCCATGCTATTGATCTTCTTTTTTTTTTCTTTTCACAAATATAGTAACTGACTGATTGTAAAGTTGTACTACTACTACTTTGACTACCGGATCTATAGTTTTTTTTACCTACAATTAAGTTGAGACACTGCTTAGGGGTGTACCTTAAATCTGGCTTTACTAGGTTTATTGTGATGTGAGTAGTAAATAAGACTAGACATTATTATTGATAGATTGAGTGGATATTGTTATATCTAAATGCCAAAAGTTATTTTAGTGTGCGTTATAATAATACTGTACGAGACAATAATTGGCATTGCTATATAGTACTAGTTTTCAAATTAGTATTATTAATTGTTAGCCATTTATGTCGCAAATAATGCATGTGAGTGTAAGTGTTATATATCAAATTCATCCTCTAATATGTCACTAGCGGTTTTTAATATTTCAGGGCGGCGGAGGCCAAGGCAGCGTTAGGGTTGAAACTATACAACTAGGGCCTTAATATTCCTTGAGCGACAACAATGGGTAACATCGAAAATACTTTGTAGAAATAATAGGTATAAAATAAATTTGTGAAAGGAAATAATAAACTAATAAATCTTTCAAATCGCGTTTCATGTTACGTATACCATTATACAGCAATAGTCAGTGTTTTCTCAAAAAGCCAATCAGATGAATGTAAGTAATAGTAGCAATTCTACAGTAAAACAGTTTATGTAAACACTACATGTCAATCGACATAATTGTAGCAATTGAATGAAACCGGGCGATATTCAAGCTTTGCTAAAAAACATTTTGATCAAAAGTTGAAACGATGTATTACTTTGGAAACTAGAATAACAAACAATCAGTGTATGACGCATTTTTCTGCTTACTAATGTAGTTAATATTTATAGTTAACCTAAACATTTTCAATCAAACGTAATCGTAAGAATTACATACATATGCAACCGATTCTAAAGGTTGAGGCAGACAGTGGCTGCGACAGGGCGGACGCAGCCTGCGTAGTTGAAATATACAAGCACTGTGACATCTTTTATATTAATTAGCACATACATTATAACCTAATAACATAGTGTTTCCGTCCCAACTTACCTGCCTTCTGTCCAAACTTTTAACAGTTTCTTGTTTGGACGTTTGAAGTTATGAAAATAAATGAGAATCAATTTCTTTTTTAATGTAAAATCCAAAACGACAATAATAAAAGATAGACACATGAGACAGAAATAGTAAATCTCTGAAACATTATTTGGCATGCAATGCAAATGTGTATCAGTTTTTTTAAACAGTAATCGACTCGCGTTTAATTCGTGTTTATGTTAACAAGTGACGTGACATAGCCAGCGGGGATTCAACGACATTTTCAGCTGTTTCGCGATGGAAAAACAGATAATGGATAATGAAACGGAAAATTTATCGATTTTCGATAAGATAGAGGAGATGATTTGTCAATTACAGATAAATTATAAAGATTATTCGAATTCATCGATGTCTGGAGATTTGACTTTCTAAGACATCTTTAAAGAACTTCTTCTGATCATTTTTTCAATCGACTCTAGTATCGTATTCTCCATTTGCCATGTTTGTACAAACAAGTGACGTGACATAGCCAGCGGGGATTCAACGACATTTTCAGCTGTTTCGCGATGGAAAAACAGATAATGGATAATGAAACGGAAAATTTATCGATTTTCGATAAGATAGAGGAGATGATTTGTCAATTACAGATAAATTATAAAGATTATTCGAATTCATCGATGTCTGGACATTTGACTTTCTAAGACATCTTTAAAGAACTTCTTCTGATCATTTTTTCAATCGACTCTAGTATCGTATTCTCCATTTGCCATGTTTGTACAAACACAGTAAACGACTGTTCAAAGACTAGCTTCTGTTCTATAACTGCGTAAACACAGTACATATGTATTTTTGTTTATTATGTAAGCACCATGGGCTTAGTGATCGATTCGCATAAATTTGTACGCACACTGTGCAAAACAACAATTGTTAAAATGTATTTTTTGTGGTCGATTAGCTAAACTGAATTTATTAGTGTAAATCAACACTTCTAAAAATGTATAATAGTTTTTAGGGTAGTTAATGCATAAGTGATGTGATTGTGAGTAATTGAGCAACAAGATATTCCTGGAATAATCGGGTCCAAGTTTCCAAAAAATATACAAAGAAATCTTATTACATGACCAGGTAAAATTCTTAACAACTTACCCATTGGGCAGATCGGCACTGAGTTGGTCGAGGAGCGAGTCAACCGTGGGCCTGGAAGCTGCTGGACTAGTAGCGCCGTTGGTACGCGGATAACTACCTACGAAAATAATAATACAGCATTGTATATAAACGTGAAAAAACAAAAATATTCTTAATAATCGTTTTTGAAAAGTCATTAGATGCTATTCCTTAGGTAAAAGAGGAAGACATAACAGAAAATTTCGGTAGAAAACATATCGCTATCTGAAACTTATATGATTTAATTTTTGTAGTTGTGTCGTCTAAGCTTATAGAGAGGACCATTTTTAATTTCTACGTTCCATTCAATCTAATTTTCTTTTAACACTTCAAACACTCTTCTCTTAAATACACACATTACACGAACTGACTTGACAAATCTAAAAAAGTCACACTTAATCCGATTTTGTCATCAAGACATCAATAAGACAGTTAGTTGTTAATTAAAAAAGACTGGCCGTGAGTTTGTTTGCCCTTTCTTCACAGAAGGAAATGGATGGTTGTAGATCGGCACAGGCATGTAATAGATTTTCGATATATATATATTTGTTTTGTTAAATTTAAAATAAAAAGACATTGTTGCTATTGTGTATGTAGGTCTATGACTTTACAGTCTACACAAGAGACGATTTCAAACTTTTTTTTTATGAAATAAAGATATTCTGAGTTTGAGACGTTTGTTACGAAATGCCTTTTAAAGAACAGTTATTTCAGTTCATTACAAGTCAATGTCAACATTTTGCACTAATAAAACCATTAGAAGACAGTAGGTAATCAATATGTACCTAAATGACAAGAACTTCAAGACCGGAAATGTACTACAAAATGCTCAATTCCTTATTTTTATATTTGAACTAAAAGATTAGAACATATAAAACTGTTCATCGTCCAATTAAAATTTAGTACAAGTATTACTGAAAGTTTGTTCAAATGACAGAACTGCCGTGCCCTGAGACTCAAAAATAAGGTCTACCAATAGATGTTCCAAACATTACAAAGCCATTAAGAACTTTTTGTGTTGTGTTTAAAGGTACGCGTGCAAATAATACACGTACCTAAACTTTTGGCAACGAAACCAACATTAAAAATAATTATCCTAATTTCATCACTCGTAAACCACTTATGATTTACAAACAATGTATGCTGTAATATTTCACACCAGTAAAAGCCATGTTAACGTAGTTTTGACAAGAACGGGATCGTTTTAAGAAAAACAACTCCGTTGGAAGTATAATTTGTTCCATTACGAACAAGTAACTGAACAGGTGGCGATGATTATGATGACTACGTCCAGTGCCAAGAACGAGCTGTTGTCCAAAAAAAAGCGACTGAGTGCCAATATGTCTAGAGGAAAATTTTCTTCAAAATTGGGACAGTTTAAAGCTTTTTAGAAGTTTACAATAGTAGTAGAATATGAAGATCAGGGTGTGTCAATTAAATCGTAACAAAATAAAACGATTCTTGAATCCTTCCTACAAATAAGATGACAAATTGGCCGTTAAAAAAGAATATTGCTTAAAAGTTGTGAAGATTTTGTTAGTAAATAAAATAAAGCTCTCTACGGAAATGGTGATATTAAATATCTCACGATGTAACGTGTAACGTAATGAACTCTGAAACCGCAGGAGTAATGTATTGAAGTTAAAAGTTGATCCAGAACAATACAGCTATAAAATACGAAATTTAGTGGTTAATATTTTAAGCTTAAATTTAATTCGACATTCGACAAAACATTAGAAATAGTTTAAATTGTAGTAATAGTTTAGTTTATTGAAATTAAGAACAAAATCGGCACCAATATTGAGTATGAGATGCGGAAAGCTATTTTAGTTCATGATATCGACGTCAAAACACGGTTTTCGAATATCATAAGGAAACATGAGAGTGATGATATATTGATGAGGTTTTGAAATGTTCCGCTCGTTTGAAGATCAATGTCGCGAGTAGGCCGAACTTCAGATTTTAAAAAAATATTTTAAAACTAAAGGAAGGTAAACTAAAATATGACTCGCAACGATTGATAGCCTAGGATTGTAACTAACGAAGCTAAATTCCTAAACTAATTTCTTTAGTAATATCTGTTTGAGCGGCAGGATTAGATAAAACAGCTGGTCCAGAAAATTTAAAATTGTTAGGTAATCAATAATAGCTCTTTACGTAGACTTTTACCAATGTTAGTTTTGATTCATCAAGTTATTAATTTATATTTCGACAGAGATTTTGGTGAAAGACAAACTCAATTCAAAGGATCTAAATTTAACAAATTATTTTTGATTGTATGTAGTCTATCTACAACAACAAATTGTTTTTTCATCTGTACCCTACCCACACGATGCCACGTGCTGGCGTTTTTATACTTATACAATTATATAGGTACTCGGTACGCACTATCAGTGAAGATATAAAGGTATATGAGGTGTAAGTTAGCTATGCCACCTCTTCATAACTGTGGTGCTCGATACAACGAAGATCCACTACTTCATTACGGCAGCCAACACCTAATTATAAAAAGGTGGAGCCCTAATAGTCAACCTCAGCGTATTCAAAACGACTGAATTGCTCGAATGAATCAGGCACCTTGACCAGTACTAGGATCAACTTTGACAGAGTTATATATAACACCAATCTAAGATTTTGGAATGCAAAAAACACATTACGATTCGGCAGAAAATTTATTTTTAATCATTTATAAATATGCACTCGGACGCAAGAAATCAAAAAGTGCGATACAAAGTATTTTTGGGAAACTATCATCGACAGGTACCTACTAAAGAAAAAAATCGTTTTAAAAAGAAACGAGGAAAAAGGTTTAGAACTAATAAGCAACATTGCTGAATAAGCGTGCTGTGCGTAAGACGTGTGCTGTTATCATATCACATAATATATGTATGTGCCCCTTGAGTTAAATTGATGTTGAAATAGCCATTATTAAAGCATTATCTATTCAAATAAATAAAACTGAAGTGGTTGTTTGTAAAATCATAAAAACAGCTTCTTTCTAAATGTATTTGAATGTTTATACAGTACTTATGCCTAAAACTCAATTTTAGAATTGTATGTCTGATTGTCTGTTGCGGCAAGGGGCGTTTTTTAAGAGGCTTTCAGCACATAGCTTTATTTTGGAAATAGAATATTTGACAAAAAACATATAACGAAACAAAAACATATTGACGAAAGCAGAGCCAGATATTTTCCTTTTATGACCTTTTGGTAAAGATTCTGTGTAAGAAAGGAAATAAGTGTTTATGTGTAGTACCGCCAGATCTTGTCTGATGAATTTAAGAGGCTTACCCCAACAGGCATTTCAGGTATGTTTCATAAAAGGACATGCCAAAACAATTTCGCAATGAAATGAAGAAGTACGTGAAAGAGGATGTCGAGTGATCAAGAAAAATGGAAGAAGAGAACTCGTTTCACCAAAAAAAAAGGGTAGGAAAATGATGATGACCAGCAGACAATAAGTTATTGAGGCTAGATCTCTCCCAGCATATTAAACAACCGTTTTTAATAAATAATTCAAGAAGACTAAGGAGATTGTAATGCGCGTACTTTAGTTAAACAACAGAATCGATACTGATATCAGACTGTAAACTAAACAAGATTCTACAGAGTTAGGCTATTTCTATTTTATACAGGATGGAAATGGTGGCCTTGCCGTCGACATTTGCGATTACGATTATAAACAAACTATTTATTACTGTATTTCGATGTATACATATGTTATATGTTGCGAGGTTTATAGGTTTACGTATATTGCCTTCGTTATATTATATTAGTTGTAATACCCTTTGATATTAATAAAAGGTTTGCATAAATTTTATAAAAATGACAATGGGTATATATACTATTCTATTTCATTAAATATTAGTTGTAGCAGTTGATTACGAAATTTACAATCACAAAAATAAATGCATAACCTCAGAAGAGATAGGATCTAAAAACGTGATGCTGTGGTAATTCACCATTTAAACCACTGCGACATAAAAGTGTGTTTTTATATATTATAATAAGTACAACCACATTGTATTTATTATATTACACAATTCACGTTACATTCAGTTGTTGGTAATTATTTTGATATATACAAGATATACGTGCGATAAAATATGGATCTAATGGAACAGTTTACTAGACATTTGTTTAAAAAAAAAATTAATGATGACTAAATATGTAGACTAATAAGAAATAAATGGTTTACGAGTATACACACTACCAGCACAACAACCACGTAGGTCACTATAAAGTTTTGAGAAACTCGAAATTTGAAAATGGAACGAATCTGTGTCATAAGACAAATTTATTTGAAAATCGAACACAAAAGGCCATTCACAGCAATAAAAATATTTGAAGTATTATACTGTCATCATTTCCCGCTTTTTCGACTGCTACAATGGAGCTTAAACGTGAACATTTGCGTACTATGATATATTACGACTTTTAAATGTGGTTTATCTAAAGGTAAAATATAATAATAAAAAAAAAATATATATATATATAATAAAAATAATAATATAAATATAATATAGCTTAGAACGTTTAAAATCAACTTTAGGCAAGTCCGATCCTTCTGGGGCAACCATTTTTAGATGGTTTAAGAAATTTAAAAGGGGGAAAACTAGCCTTGTAGATGATGACAGAGGTGGACGCTCGCCAACAGCAGTCACTGCTGAAAATCTGTTGATTACTGAAATGCTTGTGCGAAATGATCCACAAATTACATACAGGGACATAGAGAAAATCTTAGGTATAGATATGGCAATAGAGAAAATGGGAGGTCAAGACGTGTTTCTGAAATCATTACTGGCGAGGAATCATGGATTGATATATCCATATGATCCAGAAAGCAAGAAGCGTTTTTAAAAAAGGGAGAGGTCTATGTCCAGCAGTGGACTATTAAAGGCTGTTAATGATGATGATGTTTCTCGGTATGGCTGTTTCCAGGTGGCCTGTTGCCAACAAAATTGCAAAGACTGTGAAACATTGGCAAAAAAATTGTGCCCAGTTTTGGCACGGAGTGGGCATCTTGCAACATCAATGCTAGAGAAATGTAAGTCTGTTAACTCAGAATGATACACTACGGTCGTATTGCCAAAGGTTTTCGAAGTGTGCAGGAGAGATGACCAAAGACCGGGCTCCGGGGAATGATGCTGCACCACGACAATGCGTCTTCACACTCTTCCCTCAGAATCAAGGCGTTCATTCAAGAATTGGGTATCGAAACCCTACCTCACCCACTTTACAGCCCTGACTTAGCCCCTTGTGACTTCTTTTTATTTCCTACCTTAAAAGATAAGATAAAAGGCAAGTTTTTTTTTCAAGTGCCGATGTAGCGGTGGCTGCCTACGAATCAGCAATTTTTGACCTGTCTGGGAAGACTGGAATAAGTGTTTCCTTCCTGGTGGAGGAAAACTGGTTTAGGCGGATGGAAATTTGTTTAGTGAGTGATGGAGAGTATTTTGATTTTATTTTATATAAATATATTTTTTTTAAATTGTAAGTATATATTGTATCTCATAATTTATATTTCTATAATATAAGGGACGGTTCGGTGCGCTGGTGGTTTCATAAACAATCACGACCAAATACTATTCAACCCTTTAGTTCTACATCTTTTTGAAATTCGAACGAAAACCATAACATAAAAGAGTACAAAAAATTGAGATACTAAACTCCAGGCGCTCTGTTTTATTAAGAATTTGCATACTTGATAGATTAAAGAAAGTACGGCGCAGAATCGATGGCAATGATCCAAGCATTTTTTTTCTTACTACATAATAATACGTAATTTTCCTTATTATTTTTAGGTGTCAGTGTTTCATGACATCTATATTATTTACTAACGTAATCATCGTATGCAAAAACATGTCATATAAAAATTGTAAGTTTAGCTACGTAGTTTTTCAGTATTTTGTCATATCGTCTTGCTGTTAGTTTCATCATGGAATATTAAAGCCATAGAATGTTAAACTGAAGAACACGAAGGTTGTTAAGGCTTCTTAATTTTCAGGTCGGTTTGAACAACTCCATTTATTATTTGTTGTAGTCCTGATTACTTGATGCTTTAAAAAAAAAAGTGTTTGTTTGTTGAAGTTTATACCTTATGCACTATAATTGTACCAAAGAAGTATGTACATCAATATATGTATGACACTTACCAGTTCTTTCATTATACGAGGTCTTCTCCATATAGTTCCCGTATCTCGCATTGCTCAGGTCATCGAGTAGAGTGTCCAGCTCGGTCAGGTTACCTCTTCCACCAGTCCTGCCGTATCCAGGTTGTGGGGCGTTGTAGTTCGTCGTGTGACTGCTGTAGGCTGTCTGTGTGTTGCCATAATTTGTTGGCACAGCTTTCTCGTATATTGCTGACGTGTTTTGGTATGTAGGCTGTTGGATTGAAAGAAACATGAGTTTGAGATATCACCCAGTAAGCCTATCTAGAGGTTACGAATAGAAGAGGATTCTAATTAAATCTTGTAAAGAAATACTAAATTTTCATTTATAAATATTTACAAACGAATAAAATTAATGTAAATAAATTGAGACAGCTTAGTAGTGGTTAGTGACAATGACTGCTAAGCGGGAGGTCTAGGGTTCGTTTCACTCAGGACAAATTATTGTGTAATATGTATGGTTTAGAAATATCTAAGTATGTTTATCAAGGGTCTGGTTACCATAGCACATGCTCTGCCTAGTTTGTCTTTAAATATTTTATATGCATGCTGTGGTATTACTTAAGGGTACATACATTAAGACTGTAATTATTTTACACTTGAAATCGAGCTGTTTAACAATTCAGTAAGTGTACTCTACTAGGTGATACGGGGAGACACCGCATTTAACATAGATAGCGGTGTAACGTTCTTCTGATAAGTCAGAGACGTCATTGATATTGCAACAGGTTACACGTTAAAGGCACTGATAAAAAAAGAGGTGGAGGTATCGAATTGAAATTAAAATGATATACTCAGGTCTACAGTCTCTTGAAGCTGTAAAAAAATCAAACTGCTGCCAAGTTAACGTAAAAAAAAGATACGGCCGTTTAAAAACGTATATTTCAACACTCTCAAGGGAATCAAAATTTATAGGGTATTTTCTATTATTACCTAGAAGTATGAAATTTATTAAGTAATACCGTCTTTTACTACAAAAATAGGGAAAAATGTGAAAACTTTGCATTTGTAATTAAGTCATAAAACAGGGTTTTTATGCAAGAAACGGCGGTCCAAATTTTTTAATTGAGTTAACCGTGTCATGTCAAGTAAATAAAAACTATTTTTGATAATATGTACCTGCCATGAAGCAAATACAAAGAGGAGGTGTTGTAATTAGATTTCTCTATGAAACAACGCATGACAATTTGCGGGGTGAGGGGGTGCTAAGCTCCGGCTTCTTTACTTTTTCCATCTACCAAATAATAGCAAAACGACTCGAATCGTTCTATATCGATGTTGCTATTTAGATAAGCTATCTCACACTGGGGCCCGTATTTTTTAAAAGACGTCTCAAGTGTCGGTTGAACTCTGATTGCCTGAAACAAGTTTTAAGTGCAGATCAAATCTTAAGTATCGATCTTATTATAGAACGCGTTTTAAGTTTTACTCAGTTGAAACTAGTTTCAAGTATTGATTTGAACTTACAGTCTGTTCTCAATTACGTTTTCGCATGTTTGACATTATTATTCCGCATTACGCAGTTAATTATTTAAAAAATACTTTTATTTTACAAACATAATTTCTGTGAATTTGTATATAATATACTATTGGCTAGTGTAGCAATGTTAACATATTAACAAGCTTGTTGTTCGTTCAAAATTAAATATAATAAATATTAAAATAAAAATGACCAGCTGTATGAATAGGCTAAACGGAACGTTCAAGTTATTTATTAACACTTGTCATGTTGAAATGTCAAACGATGTTTTTATTTGATATTTCTGAAATTTATATTACTATACTTTTATAACATAAACCAAAAGGTTGTGGTAATTTAAACTGGTATTGTGTGTGTAAAATATGAATTTTGGTGAATTTCTATATTTAATTAAGGTAAATGAAAGTGAAACTGATGTTAGTATGCCAAGTAATTCTTTCGTAAATAAAGTAAAGTAAAGCTTTCGTAATTATTCAAAAATAAATCATCGTAAAACACATTCATTTCCCCTAAATGTCCTAGAAATCACCGCTTGAGACTAGTTTCAGTTTGTCTCACGTAAACAAAGATCACAGCTGTCAAAATCTATACCTGAGTAATGATTTCGACATAAACATCGTTCTAAAATAAGCTATCACTCACTTGAGTATGGATCGGTGAATCTCGTTTTAAGTGACGTTCAATAATAAAATCTCTACTTAAAATTAGTTTTAAGACTAGATTCACGACTGAGACACCTTTTAAAATACGGGCTTCGGTGTTGGATGTAAGGGACGTACTCAAAATTAAGAAGTTTTTTTAAGATTAATTTGAGCCATCTAGATACTTACTACTATTGAAAAATCTTACTCATATTATAATATATTGGTAGGGGTATTGCTAGTGTTAGATTAAAAACGTTTGTGGTAAATTTTGAATGACAACAATTGCAATTTGTATTATTTAGTGGTGGGTTCGATCCCCACATGGGACGACACTTTGTTTGATCCACAAATTGTTGTTCTGGGTGTTCTTTGTGTCCGTTTCATGTATGTTTGTAAAGTCCCCCGCGTGACAGGATATATTCCTAATGCGGGAGTTGTCTTTTTAAAACAAAAAAAAAATTAAGTATAAAATTACTTACAAATGAAATGCGATCTATAGCAACAAAATGTCTATCCGAATTATTTTAACGCGATGAATACAAAATTTCATCCTCTTCTTCTTAATACTACGAAAAAATTTGCAATTTTGCGACACAAGCGCACAGTAAGGACGCTGTGTACTAATTTTAAGCCACGCCCACGGTGATGACGTCAGGACCTACTTAGAATCATAGTGTACAGTTGCTTATGCCCTCTCCTCTTTGTATTTGCTCCGTGGCACCTACAAATTTGTACGGAACCCTCAGTGGGCGAGTCCGACTCGTAGTTGTCCGGTTTTTAGTTTATTTTCTGTTATTATCACTAAGTCAAACAAATTAAAGAGTTTTCGAAAGTCACACTGACTATGAGAACATTTCTACATTTTTCTTTTTTTAATTATCATAACACAAAGCAGTATTATCGATTATTTGCTTTATTACGGTCGTTCTTGCTGTGGCTAACAATTTACAAACTTGCGATAATTTACTTCCGATTTAATTCTTTAACAAATAATATGTCATACTCGTATTTTGAAACCTCTATTCAGAGCAGTTTTAAACATCGGCTTCATCTGTTACCTACTAACGTAAAACGGAATTGGCAACTATCTTCATTACACCCAAGGCTAATAAATATTCCTAAGAAAACATGATTTTACGTCAACATCATAATATTAATGTTAGGTATACTTAAAAATTTGATTTATTATCTCTGTGTGTACACTGACAAAAGGCAGACTTATTATTGAGTTACCGGCACAGATTACTCGACTGATCCGGGGAAGTGGAGTTTTTCTCAAGTTGCTAAGTACCCCGTATGATCTTTATACCTTCAAGGCGGCCCAAGTTTGTAAAGGACTGTCAATAAAGTGTTTATCGATTTGTGTAGGAAGCGCGTTGTTCACAGGGTAATAAAAATTATTTGAGTCGCATTATCAATAAGTGATACTCGTAAAACTATACAATACGAACTAAAAGTATTAATAAACGAGTTTTAAAGACCTTATAAATCAGACTGCCAAATGAAAACTGATTTTTGCAAATTGGACTCATTTTCTACTCTTATTTCAGAATGTATTGAAATACTGTAGCACCATGAAAGGACTGCTTAAGTTACACTCCAAACAAAAATCTAAGTACTTAGATTTACATATTAGACTTTTAATACTTAGATATATATTTTATTTATTAAATTTATTAAACCATTATTTTGATTAAACGTTTAAACTCAAAGGGATCTAGACTGCACTTAGCTGGTATTCGCAGTAAACTACTACTAAGATTTGCTTTCGCCCGTGCTTTCGCAAGCGTAAAAGTTATTCTGTCTATCCCCTTTGAAATGGACTTTCTTCTGGATGAAAGGCCTATGTCTTATTCTGTACCCCTGACAACGTGTTTGCAGAATTGCCTAATCTTTTGAGTAGCTAAGATGAAAACGTAACAAACAAAGTCATTTTCACAATCTTAAAATAATAAGATTGTACAAAATACATGGAACCGACTCAAACTGGCCATTTTATTTTAAATGCATTCACCAATCGATATAGATAATGGAAACATCAAGAAAATGATAAATTTCAGAGTTTTGGCTACTCTAGTCTCACTATACTAAAGATTATCCCAAAAAGCTTTGATAATAAAAAAAAATAAACACTAGCAGAAAAATCTAAAAAATTATGAGAATTTTTTTCTTCCTAAGAATAAAATTCATTTCAAATTAGGTAGTGACATATTTTTTTTTAACGTGTGGAATCCCCTTCGGGCCGTCACCCCACCGGGGTTTGCGGCGGGACGGTGTGTGAAACCGAACAACAGAGGAAGAGGAGGCTGACTGCCGCTATCTGCCCGGAATTCAGCCGTCCGCTGAGAGACTTCGGCGAGCACTTCCGCCTTCAAATCCCACGGGGGAGCCCAGCCAACGCGCACCCCGCCTCCATGGTGCCGTAACCGCGTACTCTCTAACCGCCAATAACCTCTGAGGGCGCCAGAGCCCTCACCGGGCGCGCCACACCGGTGCACCGTACAGTGCCATTGACCGGACAACCCCGTGTGTATAGCCGTCTTGTAGCGACGCTGGTCCACCCAAATTGGGCAAAAGTCGCCCTAGGGCAGACGCAACGTCGAGCCACCTGCCGTCGAGGATGAAAGAAGAAAGAAAGAAAAGACAGGTGCCTTCCAACGCTGGTTTTCAGCTGCAGCCCATATGAATGGGTGTTGTCAGCTCGAAGCCATTCAAGTGTGTGATTGTGTACGTATATATATATATGTTTGTGCGACATAAAATAAGGGAGGGAGAAAAAACTACACTAAAAAATAGGTACCCAAAATAAGTAAAATTTGCAATTAAAACAAAACAAAACAATGCGACTGTAGGTGCTCAACAAGGAAATTAAATAGCAACAATATTATATTTAAAATGCAGATGTTGAAATTTGGACACTCGAATTCTTTTTCATGCTAAAGCAGATAACTTTTCACGGCCTGAAAAGGTACGAGGACCGAGTTGAGTTAAGGTTTGGACCACGACGGGCACCATGCAATAAAAGGGCTTCCGTCTTATTTAGGGCCACCCCTAAGCCCAGCGCCTGATCCTAGGGCTGTAACTAAAGTATCGTCGGCATAACAAAATTACGCCGAGCCCGGGGGGCAAATCTCCTCAAAGGACCCAGTCGTACCCTATGTTCTGCAGGAGGGGTCCAAGAACAGATCCCTGTGGAACACCGCACGACATGGGCCGACGCCTCAGATATCAATATCGATCCTCGTACGGTACGCTCCTCTAAATAGTCTGCCACTAACCACCTAAGGTACTTTGGTACTCCGTGATAGAGGCGTGCTTCCCTGATGCAGCTGAATGGCAAACTATTGAATGCGTTAGCAATGTCCAACGATACTACTCTTCAGTCACGGCTTTTAGGCGCAACACAGCATCGACAGTCGAACGAACGACTCAAAAACCAAATTGGGCGCCCGACAAATCGGGGCCGACTTCGCGTAGGTGCCGGACGATGCGGGCAGAGAGGACCCTTTCAAACAATTTACCCGCTTCGTCCAGCAGCACGATGGGCCTGTAAGCCGCAACCGAATCGGCAAGCTGTCCTGGCTTCCTCAAGAGTACCAGCTTCTCGCTCTTCCAGCACTCAGGAAAGCGTCCGGCCACCAAGCTAGCGTCGAACACCTCCCCGAGGCGGTCTTTCATGTAGTTGACAGCCAGTGCCAGCACTCGGGCAGGGATCAGGTCTAAACCTACGGACAGGTAGCGACATCTACAGCAAACGTTGTGTAAAACTGAGTTGGAATCTTTTCAAGTTTTCTTACCGCGTCGAGTTACCGACATTTGAGACGAGATGGCGTTACACGTGCAATATAAACATAAGCAATGCAAAAAATCAATACAAACATTTAACATGAATAGTACATAAAGTTAATAATTACACAGTTTCCTGTTCGATTATACTACTGTCAGAAATAAAAAAATATTAAAATCGCTGAATACTGTATCGAACTCTTTGTTTCTTTTATTATCATGTACATTTTGTTAAAAAGTATTGTATCAAACAAGCATATGTCCTACAGAGTGCTGAGTTATCATGCTTGCATTAATTCTAAATCCTATTTCAACCTTTCTCATATAGTTAGTGGTACAGTACCACTAAAACACACACATATTTAAGGATTTCGTGTGAAATCTCATAATAATAATTATTCGATATATCCACAGTTTTAAGAAGCACTTATATTTTAAAAGTGTATTTGCGGAGTGAAAGGAACAAAGGGTATTTTTCGTCTGACTCTTTGGGTACCTTTTTTATCTTGTGATATATAAAGTACAAAAATAAAAGTTACTTGCAATATTTTATTACTGTCAGTCTAACTAATTTATTTAAGTAACTGTTTTTCATTAGCATAAATAATTTGTAATCTATTGATTAATACTAGGCATGCATTGTATGTATTTTCTAGGTCTACAAGTAAGAATTGTGCTTTACTGACTTTAAAGTAAAATGAATAAACTAAGTCACCAGTTCTCCACATAGCCATTTTAACTTGTTTGCGTAGAAGAATAGAAGAACTAACCTACATGGCTTAAAGGTATATAAGTTTGATTCCATTAATTGATGTTTTAAACAAACAAGCCATTTTAGTCTGTTATTTACGATTACGAGTTGTTCTTGAGGACAAGTGTACTACACCACGTTTTTAGGTCAAGATTACATGCATTATGTACGCACAACGCATGAATATATACTCGTATGTATTTAACCGCAATTTCTCGACAAGTTTCACTGTTTGGAAAATGTGTTGTGGTAAGAAATAATTTAGAGACATCAGACATTATATGTCCGTGTGGTGACGGATTAAGAAAGGCCTTCGCTATGTAAAAGCTTACCGCACAAGTCTCTCCCTTGGCCTCCATCGCCTGTGCCGCCTGTTAGATAAATATCTTTGTATATATATAAAATATCCTTTACGTTATTGCTTTATTCCCGTACATACACACAACTATTTAGTTATAGATAAAGTTCTTAATTGGCGAAGCGGTATTATTTGATTTCTAGCATTAAATTATATTATACAACGCTCTTGACATTTTGTGCAAAGAGGCTATCAAAAGCAATGATGAATATATACGATGACTTTTCAAGTTCAAAACAATTTTCCTGACCTTTAAATGTTTATTGAAACAATCTTAATAGGTAGAGAACGAGAAACAGACGCCACAATGCAGACATTTTATGAGTATCCGTCTGTTTTGGATGTGGCAGTAAACCAGTAAAACAGCTTTTATGAAATACAATTTTAATGATAGTGGTTTTGTTTGCCTCCGTAGGCACCAACAATCCCTTAAGGATAATACGTCACTAAACTCAAACACTAAAAGTAAACAAAACACATTTTACATTTAACTATATAATTTTATAATTATGTAACAATACATTTCTTACATGACGCATAATATATAATATTTATAATCATTTACGGGCCTCTCGTTGGTCTAGTAGTTGGTGATCCTAACTGCTAAGCCAGAGGTCGTACGTTCGATTCCTACCCAGGACAAATAATTGTGTGATGAGCACGATCATTTATTCTGGGTGTAATTTATCTTTCATTCATCCATCCATCCACTGCTGGACATAGGCCTCTTCTTAGAAAGGAGGTTTCTTCAGAGAATTTATCTTTAATAAGTTTGTATTACATGGGTTGAAAAGTCCCGGGCCTAAGACATTAATGGCACTAGACTTATTGCTTCAAAGGAAAGTTGTTAAAATTTCATGAATACTACTCATAAGTTTGTGAGTTATTGTTAAAGAGCGACACTACTTTTGTTATTTTTACAACAATGATTATTAATTTTACACTGCTTCTTGATGGGAAAAAATACCGTTGAAGCGAAGCAATGGCTTGAAAAGTGTTATAAGGAATCCGCTCACTCAGAAACAACATAAAATGTTGGTTTGCTGACTTCAAACGTTGTCGTGGAGATACCGTTCATCATCTCGTAGAGTCGAGATGATGCAGAACGCAGTGGACGTCCAAATGAGACGGTAACACCAGAAAACATCAAAAAATCACAAAATCGTTTTGAATGATCGAAAAGTGAAGTTGCGTGAGTTAGCTGACATCGTAAAAGTACCAAAAGAACGTGTTGGCTTTATATTGCATGAGCATTTGACTATGAGAAATCAAATGATGAGAATCATGTTTAAAACGTAACAAACCAGAACTTTTGCGTATATATGTGACAATGGAAGAAACATGGATCCATCACTTAACTCCGGAATCAAAACGATCGTCATCTGAGTGGAGAGCAACTGGTGAACCTCGTCCGAAACGCCCATAAGCACAACAATCGGCTGTAGATACGGAGTGTCACCACCCCTATTCATCCCGTGGGTGTCGTAAGAGGCGACTAAGGGAGCAAACTACGCAGGACAACAGCACTGAAAAGAGAAGGAAAACTTGAACAAAAACCTACACCAACCCGTCTGGCCAGCGTGGTATAGTAGGCCAATACCTCCTTTCTAAGGAGAGGCCTATGTCCAGCAGTGGACTATTAAAAGCTGTTGATGACGATGTTGATAAGACATTATATTTTAAAAATAATTGTGCCGTCGCGCGACGCGTGGCAGATGTGAAACATCAAAAATATTTTGTAGAAATAATAAGTATAAAAGGATAGCTTTTAAATAATATATAAAGAGACGCGTCGCTACACTGAGTACATGTTACGTTATACTATCACATAGTGTGGCATCGCACGGGGTGGCAATAGGCCGTATTAAATGTTTCACATCAAAAAGTGCTAGTCTTTCTAATAAAAAATATCCACATATTTTGATTTTTGTCAGTTTATTAGACTGAGTTGACATTTTGTAAATTGTTAAGTTCTTGGATTGAATTTCAGAATAATGCCATTGTTTATGGGTCTTTCTGTTAGAAAAACTCACCATTTGTGTTTATAGCTTTAGTGGCCTACAATAGTATTGGTATATGACATGCCAGACATCGCAAACTAGCTACAACTTCTAAGTAGCAGTAAATTTTAAAGAAAAAAATTGTTATACTTTTGTTTATGTCTGACAAACTTATAACGTTTTTTTTACGACTTTCTAACTTTTTAACGTTACACATGCAATAGGGCATGCAAACTATCGAATCTTGCGTGTAGGAAAAATTTAATCTGTCTAAGAAAGCAAGTAACGTGTAATACTGTTTCATGATTTCATGTGTTCAGAGGGTGGGCAGCATCGCTATAGCTCCTGGGCATTTAGTAACATTTAAGTTATACGTGTACTGCAGTTGGCAGACAATATTTTTTATTTACCATGAAAAATGATCTATTTTTATAGAAAACAAATGTTCAAAAAACGGAACCAAAGAACACCCAGACTCAGGACAACTATTTGCGGTTAAAACAAGAAAAACCCAAATACACGGCGCGGCATAGCGGTCAGTCGAACAATTTAACTATTGTTGCATCTATGCAGTCTTCTAGCCGTTCTCAAGTGCATATCTTCGGATAGTTCTGCATGAAGGCTCATGAAAGTGAAATACATTCCTAGTGTTTTAGAGCTCTTATGATAAGTACTCAGTTTAAACTTACCGAAGCAGGTTTAGTATAATCTGCAGATATATTTCTAGAGCCATTGATAGATCCGTATCCAGTCGATGATGGCGAATTTAGGCTACCTCCAGGAGAGCTTAAGCGACCAGGCGAGCTTCCTCTGCCAAGCGGTGAACTGGTCCGGCCAGGGGAAGTAGTTCTTCCTCCTGGAGAGCTTCTGCCACCCGGACTACCGACCCGGGCGCCAGGGTTGATTGAGTTTTGAAGATCAGCAAGCAGCGCATCTGAAATCAAGTTAATATCACCATGAATACAGAGAAAACAATGTGAAGTAGATACGATGAATGCAGGGTCTATTGTCTTGCGTACTAGAGTTTTTGCATTGCACACATCAATCTTTTGTATGTGTTTGTTGATAAAATATACTACCTCAAAAAATAAGAAATGTCAAAAATTAAAACAATGGCCACACTGATAAGACATGCCATGTAGAGATGGACATTTAAAATATACATCGATGTTTTTTACGATGTAATGCATCGATCGGTCACATCGATGGTAATACGATGTATTGAGAAATACATCGATGTTTCTTAAACATCGATTATTTTCGCCATGACGTGTTTTAGGTTAGGTTAGGCCTTAATTAAAAAAAATATATATATATTAATAAAAACAGGAAATATATTTATTCAAATTCAAAATCACACAACCAACACATTTTTCTTTACATATTCCAATATTTTTTGTCAATGCTATGTAAAAACAAAAGTTTACTTAATCTCTTCCCCTTCTTCAGTCGGTTCCTTCGTTCAATTCAGCGAGTATTTATTTAAAGCGAATTCATAATCTAGTATTTTCAAATAATAAAAATCAAGTTTAATTTAATTTTCCCGCGAACAAACGAATAATACGAGTCGAACGACCTACAGCGTTCCAACGGGCGAATTAAAAGAACCCCGTTTAATAAACTATAGCTATTTGGCGGCTATACAACACTATACTCATTCATAAATTGCTTGGTCGATGCATCGAATAAAAAACATCGATATATATTCGATGTTGAAGTATTAACAATACATCGGTTTAATACGATGCATCGTTACTATACATCGAGTTTTTTAAATAAATCGATGTATATCGTCCATCTCTAGCCGGCCGCCATTCTTGCTTTGTAGACGCCATTACGCCCATTACTGTTTCTTTCTGTGTATTGTGTCAAGTCAAAGAAATAATTATCGCTGTTTATGTTATTATAGTTACTTTCCTAGATTAACTCTTTCGTGTGTTACAGAAGTTAAATAACTTCTAGATTATAAACATCCTTTCACAAGAAGTATAATTAGACCGCAAGACGTTTTCTCTCATTCGGATTTAAATATTCTTTAGAGAGTTAGATTCCAATTTTGTGTGTGTAAATTGTGAACAATGTCCGTGAACAATTATAGAAAATGCGCAAAGTGTGGTAAAACACGTGCTGAAGATATGACGGTGACGTATCATAGGTTTCCGAATCCAGGAAAGGATAATAACACGAAGTAAGTGCATTTATCATTTTAGTGTCCCATTTCTCGCAGCAAAGCGTATCTTGGCTTACACTGTAAACACCAGTTTAATAAACTAGGTACTTTATGACTAGTTTGTTACATTTTATTATAATAATAATAATAAAAATTATTTGTAGGATCAGAATAAAGTCTAGGTTACATTTTGTATACCTATTATTATGATTTACATTTTATTGTCATTAGATTTATATATAAAATTTGTTACTACAGCTAACATAAAACTAGTATATGACTATTCTAAAATGTGCAAGAGTGATTATAAAAAAAAAGGTAAAATCAAAATATAACAAATTCTTTTGTGAACGGCCTGAGCTAGGTGTGAAACCTGTGTTTCAGGCAGTAGCTTGACTATTGTGTTAGTTTAATCTGTTGAAGTTCTAATAGATTAAAATACTTGAGACTGGTTTGTATACACAAACATATATTACTTACTGTTTAATAACCTAATTATATTAAAACTATATCATTTTAAAATTGCTAAGAATTTTTCTGTGTCTGGGTAATTAAGCCTACCTAAGTATTCTCCTACTAGAGTTTTACACTTTGTATGCGATATGGCATATATTTTCAATACTTTGTTTATCTTATTATAAAGATATGGTACTAAGAAGGGGTAAAATTAGTTAATGTACATATGCGTTGTTTGAGGTTTGACACATACAATTCAGAAGCTCAGCATCAGCTCCTTCCAGAAGCGCTGAAGCCTCCTGGGGTGTTCACAGGCTTCTAGGAGCGAAAATATTTTAGTATAGCTTTAGTATAGCTACGTGTGCAAGTTTTTCTAGGTAAAGATTGTTGCAAGGTTAGTAGAATGGCATGATGATCTGTAAGTGTTGAGTCAGTGACTAATGTTAACGATGGTTTATTTGACTTTATCATAAACTGATCTAAGCATGATCCGCTTTGATGTGTCGGGTAAATATGAACGAATAGGAGTCTGTGAAATAAGCAAATATTAGTGTGCATTAATGTCTGTTCTCCCCCAAGCAATGTTAATATTTAAATCGCCAGTTAGTATAATATTTTTGTACGATGATAGGTTCTGTAAATTTGTGTTAAGGGATTCTAAAAATGTATCAATATTTTGCGATGGTGGCCGATTAATTATGTTAGTATTCATTTACTTTATTATTTTTAAGTTTAGAAATCTGTAGTCTGATGATAAAAATCTCTTTTTTCCAGGGCTCATGCTTGGGCCAAATATTGTTGGCCGAATAATGACTGGAGTTCTAGAGAATCATTATACTCGCTCCACAAAACCAATAAAGTTTTATGTGGAAGACACTTTCATTCATCTCAATTTTATGACAGTACAAGGAAAAAATTGAGTAAATTTGCTGTGCCTGAATTAACTGACTTACTAAATGATGAAACCAATGTATTTAACCAGGTATGACATCATTTATTTAATTGTGATATTTCCTATTTACACATTTTGTATTTCTAATTATAGTAACCATTTTTTTCAGAATGCAGCAGCATCAAATGTAGCAGGACTGCAAAAGTCAAGAGTACCATTTTCACGAATTGAAAATAGTCCAGTGTCACCCATTTTGGTTAAACCAACAAATATATTGTCACCCCTAAAACGACCTACTGACCCAATACAGCCATCTAAGTCAACTGACAAGGAACAGGTAAATATTTTACTTTTGGCTTAATTTTGTTCCTCAACTTAGTAGGGTATAATAGTATGGGAGCCCATGATGCTAAATGTGGATTTACTCGAGCGTCATGAGGACCTATTGCATTCAAAAGATTAGATAATAGTATGAATAAAAGCTATATAATTTTTCCCCTTTCACCGGTGGAAAAAGCTTCTACAGATTTTCAAAAATGTAAGGGGAGGAAATCGAAAAAAAATATTCGGGCGCATCAGATATTTTAGGCATACATTATTTGGATGCCAAAAATGCTCCCATTGAAAGTTCTGACGATTTTAAAGTAACAAGCTGGTGGCGAATTATCGATAACGCAAACTGCAAATTCGGAAAATCGCCATTTCGGAATACCCGAGCGTGTTAGATTTTATACAGACGGTTCAGCTTGATGTTCCTGTCATACTAGCCATAAATCTGACGATTATTTTTAAGTATATTTCAAATCTAACGTTTGAAATATTTTGATTTTTTGCTTTTTTATTCAATTTGACAAATAAAGGCACGAAAAATTATGTAGAAATTTAAAAAAGGTTTCTTTCATTGTTTGCTTCAAAATAAAAAAAAATGTCAAGGTCATGTGTATTTTTTTGGAATGACCCTTCCACTGCTTTATGTCACGTTCAAATCGTCAGATTTTTTTAAATACACACTAATGTGTATTTAATTGACTCGACTTGCCTTAACCTTACACGGTCGAGTATTTTTGGCCATTGTTTTGTTTTTTTTACTAATCTGACAGGCTGCCCTAGATGATCCCCCCTATATGTAGGGTTCATGTATGGTGGAGGTACTCAACTGGGTGTAAGGTATTCCTCCTATCTTAATCTGAGACGCTCGAGTATAATTGGGGTTTCTGGATCACAACATGTTCTCTTGCTTCGCTCGCGCACATGTTGTGATCCCAATTCCAATTAAAATCCCAGTGAAACCCCAATTGCAACTGATGCATTGTATATACCATATGCAGAATATGTACAATCATTATCAGATTTCATTATTGATACAGACAGATTCAGAATAGACCGAAATGTCTTGTGATACAGCAGCAAATGATTCGTTATGTCGAAGCGTGCCAAGTGCCAGTGCGCGCCGGCCCTAAGGGTCTCATAACAAAAAATATATTGTTTTGTGATTGCAGAATGCACCAGAAGAAATGTTACCTTCAAAATCCACATCAACAAAGAATGTCCAGAGTCAAGTTTTGCCATACCATGATGAGTCACATTTGACTAAATCAGCTTCCAAGAAATGCAATAGTATCCTGAGTGCAATCAATGTGTCTAAAGTTAGTGAATTGACTTCTAGAGAAGTTAAGTTATACAATATTTGCAAAAAAAAGCTAAGGGAAATAATTAGACTCAGAAAAAAGTATAAAAATAAAAAGATAGATATAGTTAAAGCAATTTCTGAAGATGAAAAAGTGCAACAACTATGTGATTTAAATATCAGCAATTCTTTTGTAGTTTTACTACAAAGCCAGTTACAAAATTGCCCTAAAAAACCAAAAGGGAGAAGATACACACTGAATCAAAAAATCATGGCTTTAGTAATTTATAAAAAGTCACCTGCCTGCTACAGACTACTCAGAAGAATGTTCACATTACCATGCCAAAGCAGCCTGAATAAATTGCTTAATAGAGTGCCATTGAAACCAGGGATTAATCGACACATATTTACATCTCTTAAAAAAATGACTGGAAATCAAACAGATGAGGAAAACATTTGTATTTTATCTTTTGATGAAATATCAATTAGAAAACATTTGGATTATGACTCAAAATCAGACGAAATACAGGGCTTCAAAGACCATGGCAATCATGGCAGAAGTAATGAAATTGCCACTAAAGCCCTTGTATTTATGCTTGCCGGTATAAGAAAAAAATGGAAACAGCCCATTGCATTTTATTTCTCCCACACACTGACCGCCGATAGAATGACTGTGATTTTAAAAGAGGTATAAAACTTTGAATTTACTTTGCCTAGGTTGACTTTGAACGTTGCAGAACCATGTATATATCTCTTTTATTTGTTTCAGATACTCACAGAATGCATCAATTCTAACGTCAATGTTGTTGCCACTGTGTGTGATTTATCAACAGTAAATCTGAAAGTATTGAAGACAGTAGGTGTGACAACCAGTGAACCTTTTTTTTTGCACTGTGAAAAGGAAATTGTGGCAATTTTAGATCCTCCACATCTTTTAAAATGCACTCGAAATCTTCTCATGAAACATAATGTCGAATGCACAACAGATGTTCAGTGCAATGATAAGACTGTGAAAGGTAAACAAACCATAGCTTTTTAATTCAAGGCTATTTTGCATGGCATGAATAAATTTAAATATTAGGTGCTTAAAAGTGAGTACAAAGAAAACTAGATCTTCCAATCGCTTGACCGACCTACTTATAGTAGATAGGTGTTAGGAGATAGAAATAGACTTAACCAGCCTGCCTTTTTTTTCTGGATGGGAAATCATCAAATGACCTCTCTCGCTCTGGTTGGAGCGGGAGGGTGTGTTAAACTCTTACTGACTAAAACCCACCTGTGTTCCTTCAGTTGCCTGTGCCAATTGCCACTGTAACTCTTTCGAACAATACATACCCCAGTGTATAAAAAACAATCCATGTGCCTCTTTGACACATATTACTAAACAAATGCCCATCAAAGCGGCTCTGCACATGAATACATATTATTAATTATTTAATTATTTTTTTTTTTATGTAGGCACAGCAAAATGGAGCCACATTGAAGCATTTCACCTTCTTGATAAAAGTAATGCAAATTTTGTTTTTGCTCCTGCACTAACAGACCATCATTTGCATCCAAATGTTAAGCAGCAGATGAGAGTAAAGCTGGCAGCACAAGTATTTAGCCACTCTGTCACCGCTGGCATATTAGCGAAAATTGCATCAAGTAAGTGATTAAGTACCTACTTATTGCTTGAGCTTAACCTACTATCTCTGCATAGTTATAGCTTTTAATCAAAAGTATATAAAGGAACCCTTATAGTTTCGCCATGTCCATATTGTCCATCCCTCTGTGTGTCAAATAATTTTATTAAGAGACATGTCTGTATAGGTACACAGTTTGTATAAAAACTATGGATATCCATAAAGTTATGTGCACGAGTGTATATCTCAATACCATTCACAACTTAATTTGGTCGAGTTGTAAGCGGAGATTTAGTATGGAAATTAATGAAACCTAATTTCTCTTAAAATACGGCACTGAGGAATCTGAATTTCTGTTCACTATAACTTCTTTAGGAGTACTAATTTTTGTATAAATTTCGAAAGAAATCAGAGTTTTTATAGGGAAATCTTGAAATGAAAATTTAACACCGTGCTACCACTGCCCACCAATGGCATGATATATCTCGTAAACTACAGGAGAGCGCATTTTGAATTTTGGCTACAAATTTTATCTTGCAGGTACTAACTTTCCATGTAGGTTTGAGGAAACACCCTCTAGTCATTATAATTCTTCCTAGTTAATTCCCATTATTTTGATATTATGACTTATATCTTTGTTGTTAGAATGATTAAGGAACATGTAAAATATTATTATTTTTTCAGATGAACTTCCAACTGAAGCCCATGCAACAGCAACTTTTGTGCAAAATTTTGACAAGCTGTTTGATGCCGTTAATGCTGACAGCCCGGACCTACGTAGAGGAAAAAAGTATTCCACAAACCTAACTGCACGGAGCCCTCATATAGCGTTCTTCGGAGAGATGAGAAAGTTTATTTCATCCATGAAATACCTGGGAAGTAAGTCAAATCCTCCGTCTCAAGAAGGATGGATTCACACAATGAATGCCATTGAAAGGCTATGGAAAAATTTGCAGGCAATTAACATTAAGAGTCTTTCGACCCGTCGCCTCAATCAGGATCCTTTAGAAAATTGTTTCGGCTGCATCAGGTATAATTGTGGATCAAATAATAATCCCACAATTCAGCAATTTGTAGCAGGTGTTAAAACTGCAATAATTACAAATTTGCGACACTCTGGACAAAAAAAGAATTGTGAAGATGACTCCGCAATTTTGTCCAATAATTTATCAAGTTTTTTAACTGCAGACACACCATATAATAATTTTGAAACTGCTGAATTTGATTCCAATGAGATGGACACCTTATTAGCTGATGCAGTTGAGACAGTCGAACAGGTGACGCCTGAAAGTCAAGCTTGTGGATATGTGTGTGGTTTTATTTTCAAAAAACTAAGGCACAATGACTGTCCAAATTGTCAAAACGCAATTTTGGCAGAAAATCATGAAACCATTCACACATTCACAAGTTTCAAAGAATATGACATACGTAATAACTCCTTAAGTTACGTAAATAAAAATGTGGTCCTATGTGTCGAAACAATGGCTACAATTATAAATAATTATTTGAAAAGGGATGCCTGGAAAAATCAAATAAAACAAAATATAATGGCTGCTTTAGATTGTGTTGATTTTTCTTTTTTAAATAAATGTATGAATCATTTAGAATCAAATATAAATCATTTTAAAACCAGCACATTTTACATTTGTACTAAAAGATTTATTATATTAAAAAACAGAGAATTGGAAGAAGACGAGAAAAGAAAAGCCATGGAAAGGAAAATGAGGATTTTAAGAAATAAATGATTTAACTAATACTGACTGGTTGTTTTAATTGTGTTACAGAATATAATAAAACTTTATTGAAAAGAACTTTTATCAATTCTTTAGAATTTAGCACAATATAATCTAAATCTATATTATAATTTTAGCATGAAGAAGATTTATGATGTTATAAAGTAATACAATCATAACACTATTGTATTGCTTCATACAATTAACAACCATCTTCATGCAGTTTGCAGTACAAACCAAAGTACCTACAACATTCTACTGTAATTTTGAATTTTCCCTCACAAATTTGTTTCTTGCTATTCCGCAATGGCGCTAGTGTGTGTCGGTGTGTAACGCTATGGTTGCTTTTTTTTACTATAGAGTTATAATTCTTCTCTCGTAAGAGAGTAGATATATTCTTTGGATGAATGTGAAGTTAGCTATTACACAGATAACTAATGACTAGTCGTATGCACAGATAACATAATCCGCAGTCAAGGGCTCACATTGCAACTCTTTAATGAGCTCGAAATATATTAATATAGATTAGACAGAAATGAATAACAATAATAACATGCTCTGAAAACATCTTTGCTTTCACAATATAAAACTGAAGTCTTTGATAAGATTTTGGTAGATAAATGGGCCTTTGTGTCTTGAAGCCCTTTTATCTATTTAATTCGAAGGTGATTCCTATTCGAATTGGAATCAATTGTCTAGGATAATAACTCTTTCTTTAATAGAAGACCGAAATGAACCAGGTCTAAGCACTGAATACGCGTGTGTTCTATGTTATTTATTAATATAATATTACTATCATATTGTGCATATTGTTCATCGTGTTTTCCTTTTGTATTCATCATCAAAATGTAAATAACAACATATATTTTGAAAAACAAAACAACAATTAAACGGTATCTTATTTTAAAAACCAAAAAATCTGTCAATTTAATAATCAGTTTAAAAAATCAAATCTGATTATTTCCCAATTAAAAAGAAAAAGCTGGTGTTCTTTTTGGTTAAATATTCTAAATACTTCCTATTGATCCAGATTGCTTACTTTGATTATAAGCATGATTTCACAGCAGAAGAAAAGAAAAAAATACCAGTCGTCCTTTGGTTGTTATTATTATTTCACATAAGAAATATTGTTATGTAGTTTTTTGGATTAATAATTTTGTTCATCGAAAAACAGACTATATACGGTTATCCTAATATTACATTACAGTTTGATTAAGAAAATTGGAAGAAAGGAAGGCAAGACAACGATTCCCGAACGTTGTCTGTAGTATAAGCATAACCGTATATAGATAGTACACATAATTTAATGATGTTATGAGTAATGTTATCTGCGTTTCGATTATGCTATCTCTAAATAAAGTTATTAATTTTAAACTGACACAAAGACGAGTGTATAGATCAATGTTTAACTGTTTTTGTGTAAGATAATTCAAGTACCTAAATATTTAACTTCTTACATGGTTACATATAATTTTAAAAACTTTGGCTTTTCATGACACATAATTATGTGTACATACATAAGGAAAGAAAGGAAAGTTTAACCAGCAGTGCTATTCTCTAAGGAAACAGCCTAAAAAACTTCAAACTTAATTCGTTTGAAATCTGTCATAGCGTCGATTTTTTAACAAAGTTTTAAATAGGGGAGAACAATGCTTCTCAGGCCGGCTCGACAGGAGTGATTTGGTATCACTCCTGTCGAGCCGGCATTACAGAAAAACGTTGTCAAGTTATTCTTTCGTTGCTATTCACCGAGTGAGTGGAATTAACGGAGCCCGGCCCTACACATCCCGCTAATTCTATGAGGGCACTCAAAAGGCAGCTTCGCGCTTGAGTCTCTTGAAGCTACATCCCTACGTAACGCCAAGGGATCGAGCCGGTCGCAATCTTTTGGCTATCGACGATTCAAGTCGCTCTTCTTTGGATTCGGTCCAGAGGGAGAATTTGGTACTGTGGTGGCACTGCATAGAGATGAGAGCAGTATTCCATATGCGGTCGGACTTGCGCCTTATAGAGTTGGAGGCGATGGGCTGGAGTGAAATACTGCCTCGATCTGTTCAGCCCACCGAGCTTCTTCGAGGCCAATTTGACCTTACCCTCTAATTAACCGCAAAACTGGACTTCGCTCGATATCTCGATGCCTAGGATTGCAATACTGGCTGAGGCAGTTAGGGAGGTGCTCTCGAACCGAGGCGATACGACAAACGGTATCTTTTTTGCGGTGAACGCGCAAACCTGTGTATTTTTTTTGTTAAAATAGACCAGATTTAGTCGACCCCAAGCTGAAACCTCCGCTAAGGAAACTTCAACTTCTAACACAGAATGTTTCGGCTCTCGATGACGTTTTCCCGAGAAATATTAGGACGGCTGGTATAAAAGACTTCTCCCGTGCTATCATCTGCATAGCAATGGATGGCACTAGTTCGTAACATATTATTTTCGTAACATTGATATGCAGAAGAAACAGTGTGGGTTATAGCACACAGCCTTCCGGGACACCAGCATTTACTGACTTCAAGTCGGAGCATGTACCGTCGATAACGACCTTAATGCTTCTGCCTGCAAGGTAGCCGGTGACCCAGTTACATAATTTTTCGGGCAGCTCATAGAAATTAAGCTTCGAGAGAACCCCCCTATGCCACACCCGATCGAAGGCCTTCGCTATGTAAAAGCTTACCGCACAAGTCTCTCCCTTGGCCTCCATCGCCTGTGCCGCCTGTTAGATAAATATCTTTGTATATATATAAAATATCCTTTACGTTATTGCTTTATTCCCGTACATACACACAACTATTTAGTTATAGATAAAGTTCTTAATTGGCGAAGCGGTATTATTTGATTTCTAGCATTAAATTATATTATACAACGCTCTTGACATTTTGTGCAAAGAGGCTATCAAAAGCAATGATGAATATATACGATGACTTTTCAAGTTCAAAACAATTTTCCTGACCTTTAAATGTTTTTTTTTTTTTTTTTTTTTTTTTTTTTTTTTTTTTTTTTTTTTTTTTCACACACTCACACACGGCTGTCTGATCCCAAACTAGGCAGAGCCTGTACTATGGTAACCAGACCGCTGATAAACATACTTATATATTTCTAAATACATACATATTTTTCATTATTGATCGTTTGACTAAGCAGACGTGTTTTTTGTATTGGACATAATGTACGAGATATAAATAATAAATAATTTCTAATAAGTAATTATTTTGTAGCGTAAGTACTTTTCACTAAGTGTGTCACGAGCGAGAGTGATAAGTGCCTACTGTGTCTATTCTTAAACTGTGTATTTAGCATGGTCTAAAATATTTTTCAAACCGTGTAACTGTGTCAACATCTATGTCTAACCCAGGATCAAGCCCATTTGGCCGTAGCCAGTTAATACGGAGGAGTCCCCCACCGACGCCCACACAACAATATCAGCCGACTGCCTGCGAACCGCCTTTGCCCGAGAAAAATGATTTACCTAGCGAGGTAATACCGACGTCGGAGATCCAGAAATGGATGACAAGTATTGATGCCCTGTTAGGTGAGGTCTGCTCTATAGTGGCAGAGGGCAAAATGAACACGGATCAGAAGATGCGTGTCACAAATATTTGCCGTAAGATCGGATCTGGAACGTCTCAGATGGCCGTACTGTACCAATCTCTGAAGCAGAAAGCTATTCTTGCGCATACCACTATACAGCACCTACAGGAAAACCAGGATGTAGCGAGCTCCCTCAGCCAATTTAAGAGCACTGTTGAAGAAAAGCTGAGTACGCAGGAACGTACCTCCTTTGCCGATATGGTGCAAAAAGGTGCAGATAAGTTTGTCCGTCCAAATAATGTTAGTACCCTAGCTATCTACCCTAGCGACAAGACCAAAACTAGTGAAGAAACGAAGTCTCTGGTCCAAAAAATCATTTCACCGGAGGAACTGAAACTGCACGTAAGGGGCCTTAGAAAAGTTAGGAATGGAGGCGTTCTCATTAGTGCCGCAACTAGAGGGGATATCGAGAAACTAAAGCAGTCAGAGAAATTAGTCTCGTCAGGCCTAAAAATTGAAGAACCTACTAAACGTAATCCGAGAGTCACTGTTGTGGGTGTACCCGTAACCCTGACTGAAAAAGAGGTACTTGAATGCATTTACGAGCAGAACTTGGCAGACAGGTTTCCTGGCGCTTCTCGCGAGTCCTGTCTCAACACCATAAAACTGAGCCACAAATCAGGTAAGAAAAGCCTTCCTACCTGTAACTATATACTTGAGGTGCCGGCTAACATTAGAAAGGCGCTTATCAATCAAGGGAGAATCTACATAAACTGGACTTCTTGTCCAGTTAGAGATTTCACGCTGGTGACTAGGTGCTTCAACTGCCAGCAGTTTGGACATGCAGCTAAATATTGCCGTGAAACCAGCCCAACCTGTAACCATTGTGGAGAGCTCGGGCATACCTTTAAGGAATGCAACAAAAAAGCTGCACCACCTACTTGTGCGACGTGTAAGCGTTTCAAAAGGACAAGTGATCACCAAACTGGTGATGGAAGTTGCCCAGCACGGAAATACGCTGAGGACAAATACATCAACTCTATAAACTATGAGGGCGCCTAAGAGCGCCGGTATTAATTGATAGTGTAAGCACTTATACCTTTTTATATTTTATTTTAATTAATAATGTCTCACCAGTTGCTCTGTGACCTAGATAATTTTTCTGTGTCTGAGGTTAAACATTGTGAAATCAAAGACTGTAAACAATATGTGCCGACTACTGATAATTTACTCACAATTATTACACAAAATATTCGTAGTATACACAAAAACATGAATGGTTTTGAGGTATTGTTACATACTCTTGATATAAACTGTGATATTATCATCTTGACAGAGTGTTGGTTGTCTAATCAGCATCCGCATTTACCATCTCTTAAGGGTTACCTACTGCATAAGAATGATATAATATTGAACCAAAACGATGGATTAGTAATATATACTAAAAATAACTTAAATATATCT